ATGGTTTCTTCTGAGCTCTGTTTGATGTTGAATAGTTCGTCGACAGACATTTTGCTATTGTAGTTAGGGTCGAGCTTCTTGACTATCATGTCCTTGGCTGCATGCCAATCTGTTGTTTGTCTATCTGTTAGGTTCAGTGACATAACTCTTGAAAAGCTTTTGTTATCCAGAAATGTGCAGAAGACTTTGAATGAAGCAGACAGAGGAAGACCGATGACTGTGCAGTAGTTGTCGAATGCCAGCAGAAAATCGTGGATGTCATCCCCATGATAATTGTACTCATGGGGTTTCTTCCCCCCGAAAAGCTTAAAAGACTCTTGAGTCGGAGGTGCTATATGTCCTAGTCCAGGCATATCTTTGTGGTCAAACTTGTCGTTGTCAAAATGTTGATTGTTGTGGTGAATCATTGTCATTGGTGGTTTGTAAGTAAGTGATCCAGGCGGTTGATATGGTGTGTGTTGTGGAAAAGGTGTTGTGACATTTGTCTAAATCTGCTGAGTGCATTGGCTCATGTTGGCAGATGAAACTGACAGCGAAAATTGGCAGGAAAGGCAACAAAAGTGGTCACCAGTATAGCTCTATTCTCTAACCTGTAGTTCCCAATTTGGTTCGCAGTCGCAGCGCCACTTGTGGGTTATGAAGAGAGAGGTGGTTGATCGTCTAGGTTTGAGATAGGTTGATTAGTTTCAGGACTTTAGTTCCAACAGACTATCTGTCTGTTCCCACAATGGAACTTGTAGGTTGCGTTGTGTTTTAGTTAGAGTGAGTTGACCAAATAATACGACTTGAAATCGGGTTGGTTGTAGCTATGTATCAATGTATCAATGTATCAATGTATAAATGTATCAATGTATCAATGTATTAATGTATCAATGTATTAACAATTAGGAACGGTGGTAGGTCTTTGGGAGGCGTTCAGGAAGTCAAGAAGTGGGGAATTATAGGTGTGCCCAGGGTTTAAAAAGGGTATCACTCGTGTTGGTCATTGGGCCGACACGTGTGATCCACGAGATGAGTTTCGAGTTCCTGATTGGGGGGTCGAACGGGCTGGGCTCCAGGAAACGATTATCTTAAATGAGCATGAGCTGAACAAACGAGATCAACCAATCAGGGGTTTCCCGTTTATCCATTACTCCATTATTGCACCGTTTCCGGTACTTTAATTATCGCATCATAGACCGTTATTGCATTACTTCACAATCTATTACAGATACCTGCAATGTTCTTCAGCCAAAGCATGTTCACTTCTGGTGTCACAAATCATATAAGTGGGATGCTTTAATTATCGTCATGACCTCTAAGTGGGTTCACACCATTGCGTTTGGCTGGCAAGTGCCGTTTGTGACCACTTGAGCTGGCAACCTGCCAATACAGCCACAGGTAGACAGCTGGAAAATAGCCAACAAGGTATGGAATTATTGTAAGGCTTATAGCAAGGAGAGAAGTGGACCCACAATTCACCACATTTACCGTCAGATCTCCACTTTCTCTTGCCTCCTGTTGGAGTGAAGTATTGTACACTTAGTACTATTTGTATTGTTTATATTGTCAATATAATATGTATTGACGTATAACTCATTTAATCATTGTGACTAATTTGTTCTCATATAATGTCGGTGTAGGGGGAAATTCAAACAAACCACTATCAGTAGTTAACATGGTTACACCACTGCTACTAGTTACCATGGTTACACCACTGCTACTAGTTACCATGGTTACACCACTGCTACTAGTTACCATGGTTACACCACTGCTACTAGTTACCATGGTAACACCACTGCTAATAGTTACCATGGTTACACCACTGCTACTAGTTAACATGGTCACACCACTGTTACCAGTTACCATGGTTACACTACTACTACTAGTTACCATGTTTATACCACTGCTACTAGTTACCATGGTTACACCACTGCTACTAGTTACCATGGGTAAACCACTGCTACTAGTTACCATGGTTACACCACTGCTACTAGTTACCATGGTTACACCACTGCTACTAGTTACCATGGTAACACCACTGCTACTAGTTACCATGGGTAAACCACTATCACCTTGTTTAAAAATTTTGATCGGTTTAAATGGCAGTTTCAAATATATTATTTTCATACAATCTTGTTAACCTGCTTTGAAATACTTTCAATAAAAATAATCTAATCAAATTATGAAATAATTTTGATCTAACAATTGATATCAGTACATCAGTACAGCCGTGGCCGATAACACTTGATCGAGCATGGAAGTGAAAGAACATAATATTGCTAACCAATAATTTGTCTTTTTTTGGCGATCACTACCGAAATCTTTCACAGCTCTGGGTGCAGTTTCGTTTTCTGAAACTAAATGATCAACAACTGCGTGTATAAATACGGATTTACAAGTTCAAAGCCAGGATCTTTGACAAGCTGACAAGGGGTGCGCTATCTTAATCAGAATCAATCTGGAGACAGTCATTTCAAGCTTGAGGGGGGGGGGGGGGGGCAATTTAGCCAAATACCCTTAATATGCTCAAAACCCAAGTTTATGGTGCTCTACTTGTAGCTAGTGGTCTCTTGAACTCGTATATGAAATTTCATCAGGATTGGACAAAAAATGACTGAGTTATGAGCAAAAAACCATGTGCCCATATTTGGGCATACGCACCAAATTTGGTAGATTTCGTCCCGTAAATTGGTCAAATATCAATATTTTTGAAGAAGACTTACTTTATATGAAAGGTAAGCCTAAACTTAACTACATATTATTCTCTGTAAGTTATAGCTTTATATCTGTTTAAATGTGGATATCAAGGAGTAAGGCGAAAAGACCACAAAAAATGAACTAAATTGCTCGTAAGCTCGTATCTTGGTTCGCGATATTCGCGGAATTGATCTCATTAAAATTGTAACAACTCAATCAGTTTTCAAAATTTTTGCATGAAATTTTCGGAATCGACTTTAAATTGCATTTCCACCTTATTTTGAGAACAGATTTTTGATTTACGCCTCCAAAATAATTTGGCGGCAAAATTCAGAATTTGGCCGCCAAACGGTGCTTGATACATGTTTCGTATCCAAATATATGGTTAGAACTATCGGGGAAGCCAAGGGGTATTATAGGGAATGCCTTAATTGATTTTGGCAATCGCCATGATAAAGTTCCCCATAATACCCAAAAAATACTTGAATATTCATTGTGGGCAACAGTCCATTTTGCAGTGGATGCTTCAGTTGAAAATGCTTATGATTTATAGTTATTAAAAATCTGGGTTTTGTTTGTATATTGCTTCTGTAAGATCTGATGTTACTTGGCATGAGTACTTGTACTCTAGGTCAGACATCAAACTTAGGTCATATATACCGAGACCTCCTTCTTTGACTGGTAATGCAAAGAGTTTTCTGCTAGTTTCGTCTTTTAAGGTGTTGACTGATGCCAGGTGTTGTTCGGCATACATAATTCCATCTTTAAGATAACCCATAGTTGAATGCAGAATAAGCTGCCTGAGGTTCCCTTTTAGCAATATCTGCTAGATCTTCAATGTCGTTATTCCATTCATCGACTTTTCTCTCCACAAATGATTTTGTCCCCTCCTCAGCTCAGTTCCAATGAATGATCCAAGATATCTGTGCCCAACCTCAGATACCTGTATATTTGGGAACATTTTTTTCAGCTTTCTCTTTGCAATGTGGTTTTAACAATGAGCCATGCCTTGGCTGCCTTGGGATAATAGCCCAACATTGGCCCAGTTTCATTGAGTTTTTCACACCATCTAAGAACATCATCCAATTTTTAGAATCCTTTAGAATGTTGAGTTGTGAGCTGCACTTATAATTTGCGCTCTCGTGATTAGAAATTACAGCACTTTACAATAGAGTATATCTCTGCTTGTGAAGAAGCTAAATGCTCAACTTGGACATTTAAATTTTCAAAATGATCATATTAAGGGGGCAGGGGGTTCTTTATGAAATTTTTCTCGAAATTGATTTTATAGTTGTTTCTGATAGAGGGGAGTGGTATCTACTAGTTGTTTTTTGTCCCATGGAAAAATTTTGTTCCTAGCCGAAATTATCGCCGGCCAAAGGTCAGCGCTCATGTGTAATTGTATTGCACGAGCGATTTTCAATCGCGCACCCTGAAAATCGAGTCTAAAAATCTATCTTTTTTATCTGTGCTCTGCGTAATGCATCACATGAATCAGTTTTTAATCTATTAACTTATTACACATTTGTGCTATGCTTTAGGATCACTTTATAGTCAGCCAATTGGTCATTGCTGAAATTGAATGTAATTTATTCATTCATTATTATAATACAAAAAAATCTATCTTCTCCTACATTTTTGAGCAATCACCTTGAAACTTTCAGGGTATGTTCTAAGGACCATTTAGAAACTTCTGGTCTATCAGAATTTTAAGATAGGCCTTATAAAAGTTTTTATTCGATTTTGAAAATCTTGGACCTGGAAAAATCGTCAAAAAACGAGGTCCAAGATTTTCAAAATCGAATAAAAACATTTCTAAGGCCTATCTTAACATTCTGATAGACCTGAAGTTTTGAATGGTCCTTAGAACATACCCTGAAAGTTTCAAGGTGATTGCTCAAAAAATGTAGGAGAAGATGGATTTTTAAACGCGATTTTCAGGGCGCGTGATTGAAAATCGCTCGCGCAATATAATTACACATGAGCGCTGACCTTTGACCGGCGTTAATTTCGGCTAGGAACAACATTTTTCCATGGGACCAAAAACAACTAATAAATATCACTCCCCTCTATCAAAAACAATTATAAAATCACTTTCGAGAGAAATTTCATAAAGACCCCCTGCCCCCTTAAGTTGGGTAGAGCGTAATGTCAAAGTATTCCAGTAGACTACGGTCTACGAACCATCGACTTGTAAAGCATGAGCTGAAGCATTATAACTGGTGATCTGGTTTGAAAGACACTGAAAACCCAGGCAGTTTTTTGTCGAGCCTTGTTTTCTATGGTGGGCCGTGGGGTTGCCAAGATTGATCGTTGGAGACGAGAACCCCGAGGTATCTTAGTTGGCCTAAAGGTGCGAGTGACTTGTCTTTGGCTACCGAGTACTGGTACAATTCACTAACAAAAGGAAGTTTGACGAGAGCACTGCGTCGAGATTGTGTCTGTGACACATATACTCAAACTTGTCTTTGTGTAGTGCCACATTTTTCGTTCAGACCATTTTATGACACTGTTCAAGTTGTTTTGTAAGACAGATATGTCTTGTTCACAGGTTATCGAGATCGAAACACCAGTGTCTTATGATGGATTCAGTTATGCAATGTTCGATAGTTGAGCATTTAGCTCCTTTGGAAGCCGAGATATCTTGTATAAAGTGCAGTGCTGTAATTGCTAATTGCGAGAGCGCAAATAGGTGCGGCCACATAATTCAACAACCTAATGTCTCAGGACTTTGAAATTATGCCTCATTCTCTATATATAGTGTATAACGCCATAGAATAGCATCTGTAAACAGTAAAAATACATACTAGGCACAGGTGGTATTTTAGTAATTTTGGGGTATTTTGGGGAATGCCTTAGTGGATTTTGGAAATCCCCCATAATATAGTACCCCTAAATACCCTTTGGCTTCCCCCTATATATTCTTTCCGGTTTAAAAAATTTACTACAAGAGAAAAGGTGTCAGCAACGAACCAGACTTTCATATCAATTTGTCATTCTTCGAAGTTCCATACAGACACATGAATAAATTACATGTATAATATATGTATTCATCTTTATTTATTCAATAACGTGCAGTTAAATACAATCTACAATACAATGTACATTTTCATTGTGTTGCTGGTTAATGATTTACTTTTACTCATTCCGGTCTGTTTGTTTACTTACTCCTACCCTTTTTAACTGCGGCAGTGAAATCCCGGGTTACACAGTATGTTAATAAATTGCCTTACCTTATTATAAAAGTATAAATTTGTAACCCGAATTCTCTTCCTCAGCGTTCACAAATTTGGTCAATTTGACACGAACCGCTGTGTCGACAAGATAAATTCACACAGCAAGGACAGCGAGACACCTGGTTTGTCAATATTACTTAAATTTGCTTCCTCTTGCCCTTCATATTTAATTGGTCGCTGGGTCAACCTCAATATCCACCTTTGTACTTAATGAATATTAAACAATCATGAATAGAATAAAAGAGATAAACCATAATTAATCCACCTTTTTATCCAGGCTACGAAGTTCTAAAGAGTAGCAGCCGAGAAACATGATTTCCCCTAACGAGTGGTCGCAGCCGACAGCTGGAATTATGATACTAAGATTGCTGAAGGACTTATTTGAAAACAAAAAACGAGTTACATATTGGATATTTTGATATATCAGTCAATTTTCAAGGGCATATGATAAGACTGGCGATATCTGCAGAACGTATAATATTTAAAGTTTGTGACAATTTGAAATTCGAAACTCTGTGTAATACTTCTTTATATATAAGGTTCACTTTGAAATATAAAAGCGTTTATCGTGTAAGTATTTCGAAATATCAAACTACTAAAATTCATTAAATTAAAATCAACTTCTTAACGAGCAAGAATATCGTATTATTATCATCGGATTGGTTTTTATACAATAAAAAATCCTGTCATATTACAGAAACTGAAAGCCTAGTTGGTGGTCGTATTGTTATCATCGGATTGGTTGAAATGCCCTCAAATTATTTCATACAATTTGATTGTTATTTTAATCAATGAAGAAAAGTGAGTTTTCAGAAACTAGAATGTACTACAAAATAAGTAGTTTAAAACCTGAATTTAGGCTGTCTGGTATTATTAGGGCTGATAGCTCAATTGGTAAAGCACCATGCATGTAACTCGGAGGTTCACTAGGTTGGCGGATCATACCCGGCACTGTGCCGGCATATGATTTTCCGGATTGCTACAAGTGGAAATCTAGTCAATTCAAATATCTGCTTGCAGATACAATCACAGCCCAACCAACGACTTCAGTCTTCATCAGACCGGCCCAACTAACTATACCATCAGACCGATTCACCTACATCTGCATACGCCATCTGGGAGCCGTCAGTTTAGCTTGACTCGTGGGTTGAAAACATCGTTACAGTACTTCGTGAGTAGTACAGTACTTCACAACGATAATCCGCCTCCCCAACAAAATATCGTATGTCATAATGTTACAGAAACTTAATATAAAGCATAGTGCGGTGCTCGTTGGAATGTCGTATTATTATCATTGGTTACGTTTGGTTGATATGCCCTCAAAGAATTTTAATTGTGTATTAAGGTTAGAGGTTATGAACAAATGGAAAGTGGCTTGTATATGATTTACAACCGGAAGTATTCATGCTGTCCGGTTTTTGTAATCGAGTTACCTATTTGAACGGCGACTGGCCCACAAGCCAGATTGAGTCAGTAGTCATGTCTGGGCTGACTTGGTAAGGAGCCATGTTGTGTACTAACATGTCCAGCTACTCCGAAGTGCAAAATGTTTCCAGGATCTGAACTCTACCAATGAAAATTGCTCCATACACCATAGCAATTTTTATCAATATTAATCGATTTCAGCTCAGTCCAGGGTATTATGAAACAATGTTCATTATTTGCGGGAAATATTTCACAACTGGATGGAAATAATGTCCGCACATATGCCACCTATCATACCAGAGCAAATCCAACACAGTTTATGATAAAAATAAACAATAATAGCCCTTAAAACATCGGTCGATCCTAAAGTTCTGTCAAACTTTCACAAATTCTCGGATATTTTACTGTGCCATTTTATATTGTATTTTACGGACGAAATGATCCCAGGGGGGACTCCCAACCCACCGCTTCGGCGGGTAGTTGATGCACCGTTCAGAAGCAAGACCCACTCCTATATATATCCGGTCTACTTGCTGTCAGGTGTCTCAGCTACATGGGTTGGGGGTCCCCCTTTTTTTTTATACAAAAAATTTCTCGGATTTATGTAGCACGCGGATACCAATTTTATATACCGAGGAATGAATTTTACCATATTAAAGACAAAAGTAAGCGCGGCGCGACGTGCATCCAACTGTCATTTTTAGGCGAGTTTAACTCTCATAAATAAGATGGCTATTTATCCTGGATTCTTAAGACAGATATTTAGCCTGGCTACGGCGCGCCAACCCTCATATTTAGCTAGCCTAAGAAACCCTATTTAGCCTGGCTAAACTGCGCTAGCCTGGCTAGATTTTTTGTAGGGAAGTGTTGCTTAAAAATTACATCTCTTCGTGGGGGGACTTTAGACCCCTCCCTAGTGCGATTCACCATTACCATTAGTTGTTAAAATAATTTGGGATCGTATCTTATTTATTGTTGTATGGGGTCGGGAACAACCAAATAAAATGTGTGACTCTACGGTGTCTAAAAATATTGACTAGGGCCACGCCCATATTTTTCACCAATTATTAACAGTTAAAATTATCTTGATTGTCAATATAGTCATGAAGGAGTACGTATGAAAGGAGTTCTAAATGAATGCTCCTTTAATATAAACAGTAAAAAATTAATTTTAGTCGAGATCTCAGGTCTCTACAATGTAGGCAAGTTCCTGCAGGGGTTTGCGCCTTGTGCAGAAGCACGAAATTCACTCAGCTCACCAAGTTTGAGATTCAAGCAAATCGAGGATGTTCAAAGGGTACAGGATGATCAGCTCGACAAAATACCGATAGATCCTATTTCGTAGGTGATTAAATTACTCCTCCACATCCAGTCTTACCCTCCAATTGGACATAAATCAATAGCTGAAGTAGCTCTGATACAACCGATTAGAACCTGTAAGACTGGCCTCCACTCTCCAGCTCGCCATTTTTGAGATTCAAGCAAAATACCGGTACAACTTATTTCGTAGGCCCTAAATTACTCCTCCAGATCAAGTCTTATTCTTCAATTGAACATAACTCAATAGCTGATGTAAGTATAATCAACTGAGTAGTAATAACAATAAGATTTACGTAGAATTTATTGTCTTGCACTATTTATAGTTTGTTCAACTTTGTGGTAGGTTGAGATGGACGGAATTTCTAACCTGTTCGTTGTTCGCTGTCAATGTCATATCCTTTTTCTTTTCCTGATTTTCCTGGAAAAGAATGATATCACTTAGCGTAACATCATACATACGGAATTTTTCTGGTCCGGCATTTCATTAAACGTTGGAACTTTCCACAAATAAAACTGTCGAATAGACTATAACGTGAATACTGAATAATGGGAACGATAAGATAGAATCCGTTTATTTAATTTCAAACATCATACCTTGGAGTTGACTGTAGTAACCCTGAACTAGGAAGATCAGTAGAGGCAGTGCGATCAAAAGATTAACTTTCATTCTCGCTTCACCTGATTTCGAGAGTCGTTGTCTTTGGCTGATTTAGCTAATTAAAATGGAATATTGTGTTAACGCAACAATTTATCAAAATCTCCAACAACGATGATATGCAAAAAACAAAACATAGATATGCAAAATCGAGAACTCGATTAAAACTAAAAAATAAAAATGCTGAACTATTGAGGTCAGGCAAACAAATAAAAGCCCAAAATCAAATCAGTTTGAATTTCATTTACTCAACGGTTTGGTCATTTATATCAATATGATTAAAATGAAAAACGCCAAATAACCTATGAGGGGCTGCAATAACGGTTGTGTTAGAAATCGCTTACTATTTTTTAAATGACAGGATTTGTATGGGGAAAGGGTTCGGGAGTCCCTAAAATGACTTACAGGGTAGGAGTAACAACTAGATGGGTGGGGGAGCGTAATAATGTCATTTCTACAGTGTGTTTAAATTTAAAGTTACTTACTGGGCAGGAGTAACAACTAGATGGGGAGGGGGAGCGTAATAATGTAATTTCTACACTGTGTTTAAATTCAAAGTGACTTACAGGGCAGGAGTAACAACTAGATGGAGAGGGGGAGCATAATAATGTAATTTCTACACTGTGTTTAAATTTAAAGTTACTTACAGGGCAGGAGTAAAAACTAGATGGGGAGGGGGAGCGTAATAATGTAATTTCTACAGTGTGTTTAAATTTAAAGTGACTTACAGGGCAGAAATAACAACTAAATGGGGAGGGGGAGCGTAATAATGTAATATCTACACTGTGTTTAAATTTAAAGTTACTTACAGGGCAGGAGTAACAACTAGATGGAGAGGGGGAGCATAATAATGTAATTTCTACACTGTGTTTAAATCTAAAGTAACTTACAGGGCAGTAGTAACAACTAGATGGGGAGGGGGAGTGTAATAATGTAATTTCTACACTGTGTTTAAATTTAAAGTGACTTACAGGGCAGGAGTAACAACTAGATGGGGAGGGGGAGTGTAATAATGTAATTTCTACACTGTGTTTAAATTTAAAGTGACTTACAGGGCAGGAATAACAACTAGATGGGGAAGGGGAGCGTAATAATGTAATTTCTACACTGTGTTTAAATTTAAAGTTACTTACAGGGCAGGAATAACAACTAGATGGGGAGGGGGAGTGTAATAATGTAATTTCTACACTGTGTTTAAATTTAAAGTGACTTACAGGGCAGGAGTAACAACTAGATGTGGAGGGGGAGCGTAATAATGTAATTTCTACACTGTGTTTAAATTTAAAGTGACTTACAGGGCAGGAGTAACAACTAGATGGGGAGGGGGAGCGTAATAATGTAATTTCTACACTGTGTTTAAATTTAAAGTGACTTACAGGGCAGGAGTAACAACTAGATGGGGAGGGGGAGCATAATAATGTTATTTCTACACTATGTTTAAATTTAAGGTGACTTACAGGGCAGAAATAACAACTAAATGAGGAGGGGGAGTGTAATAATGTAATTTCTACACTTTGTTTAAATTTAAAGTTACTTACAGGGCAGGAGTAACAACTAGATGGGGAGGGGGAGTGTAATAATGTAATTTCTACACTGTGTTTAAATTTAAAGTAGCTTACAGGGCAGGAGTAACAACTAGATGGGGAGGGGGAGTGTAATAATGTAATTTCTACACTGTGTTTAAATTTAAAGTTACTTACAGGGCAGGAGTAACAACTAGATGGGGAGGGGGAGTGTAATAATGTAATTTCTACACTCTGTTTAAATTTAAAGTGACTTACAGGGCAGGAGTAACAACTAGATGGGGAGGGGGAGCGTAATAATGTAATTTCTACACTGTGTTTAAATAATAAGTGATAACTTATAAGGAAAATAAGTGATAGTGGTCATTTTAACTGATAGGTTTGAAACTAAGTGAACACACCCCAGTTAAATTCGTCAGCCCAAAGTAAATATGCGTCCTTGGTAACTACCTCTGGACAGTAAATTTCAATAACTGTAGCGGCAGAAATTGCGATATTTTCCAAACCAAATTAACCACATGAACATCTAAGCAGCGTGTGATTGGTCCAAGCATGTAACCAAACACCAAAATATGCTGCTGAGTTGGCGGGGATGTTTAAGGAAAATCTCTCAATTTTTGGTTTTCCTGAAATTAT